TTCATTAAGGAATTTAGCATAACATTGGACAATCATGAATATGTTTGTGCAGGTTCATTAGCGTTTTCGAAGTTTCATTAGCGTTTTCGAAGTTACATTAATGTATTGCGCTAATGAATGTCCAAAAACCGTTATTGAATGTGTGGTTTTGTCTATTGATTGCACAAAGGCGCTAATGAAACTTCGAAAACGCTAATGAACCTGCACAAACATATTCATGATTGTCCAATGTTGTGCTAAATTCCTTAATGAAAGTTCCATCGCGCTCTTGAAACTCCGTTCGCGTTATTGTGTGCCTCTTCGCGCTAATGATAATGCTTTTTCGCTTGAATGAATATTCCTTTGCGGTTAATGAACAGCAAAAGGTGTACTTAAGGTATTTTTCTTTTGTTTTGCACTGCACATTTTTCTGCGCATGCAACTAAAAGCATGGAACTAACAAAGTTTAGGCATTTTTCTTTCGGAAACTAAATAAGAAACATATTCAAAACCAATTTTCACTTTTTTCTCTTTTTTGAGTAGAAAAATTAAGATTTTTATCTGACTCGTCCCAGTTCCCACTCGGAAAAGTGTCAGTTTTTTACTATTTTGAGAATGTTTTGCGAGATAAATCAAAAACGAGAATGGTGACCCCCTTTGATAATTGCGATGATCGTCATTTTATATCGAAATATGAAGGAAAGTTTATTGGATAGATTTTGAAATATTTTGATGGGAATAGTTGACATGTGCAATTTTTATAAGAGGCGCACATACATGCATTTTTACTAATAGTTCAAGAATCATAGTAATCCAATGACTTTGATGGATTTAATAGTATAAATTATCTAGCAAACTTCGAGTTATAAGTACGGTTTGCTATATGAAAGTACATTTAACTGTGACAGAAGTTCTTACTGTGAATAAAGGTTCTTGATTACAGCTTCCGGTTGCTATAGCATTTCACTATAAAACCCATAAATTGACATATTTGGAGAGCATGTAGCTAAAAAACGAGATTGGTGACCCCATCTTTTTATTGCAGTTTTTAAATGTCCATAACATAATTAATGTCCATGCAAAGTTTCAGGACAAAGTTATTTGCAAAATTTCTTTCAAGGGAATTACCTTAAATAATAATAAAAGTTTTCTGCAAAACACTAGATTAAAATATAATTTGATATTAATAGGAAACGTTTTTACACCTAAACCCAAAGCCTAATACTCCCGACCCTCCGCCTCGTTATATATCAGATAATCATTTCATAATATACTCTAAAATATGATAATAAAAAGTGTCCTAAGCGATATGTCAGGATAATTTAACTTAATCTAAAATTTCACTACATCTGGTAAGGGTTATCGAGAACATCTTTTACCTTACACTTAGTGCTTCCGGGGGGACTCCTCCTGCTGGGCTCCTGGCTTCCCCTTCTCTGTTCATACACACTGTCACATTACCATCACTCTCTGACACAGTTAGAGATGTCTTTGAAAAGCCGATCAAAACTGCAGAAAGAAAAGATAATGCAATTCTTAGAATTAGACAACAACGAAAAAGGTCGTGGGTTGATGCTTTTAAAATATTAGTCTAACTTTATCTCTATTGGTCTCTAAAATGTATTATAAACTAAACTGCAAAATCCCGGTTGTAACTCCCTCATGTTAGAATAGCACCACTAGTCTGTTAACACAAATATCCTTCCAGTTGTAAGGTAAAAGTGATTATTATTAGATGTTTATGTAAATCTTTGCGAGAACAAGTAGCAAGAGGTCGGGCGTTACATTATAGGCAATATCTCACAAATTTGTTGCGAAAAAGAGAACACAGCTCTCTTTAATCTATTACATTGCTCTTTAACTGTAATCTATTAAATTTCTTTTGGTCTGCCCTTGCATTCCCTCAACTTCAACTCTCCTCTTGGGACTTCTCTGCTTCAAACATTCGGAACGTGCGCCTTCCTTTTTTTCTTATCTTTGCGTGCAAGTTCCTTTCCTTGACTTTCTTCCATGTGTTGTTTCCAGCTCATGGTTTGTTCTTTTTTCGTCTTCCCAATGCTTTCTTTTACTTTCTTTCTTTTTGCCAAGATTCTTTCGTGTTCCTTATCAAAGTCTTGAATGTCGTCTAGCAACTGGAACTCGTATTTCAATTCTACATTATATTTTGTCCAGCGGAATCCTTCATTTTCTAGTTTCTATTCATCAAATCTGTTTCCAGTTAACCAGTCCGTTCGTGCTGCAAAAATCATCTAATCGCACACGGTTATCGATGATAGTACACAATGCCTTCCTCTTATTTCATCCTACCCTGTTATATTCTTGTTGTCATTTCCAACTTTGGCGTCCAGATATTCATCAATACAATCATATCGTTTTGGTTACAACTTGATAGAGTATCCCGTAGTTGGTAATAGAATTTATCTTTTGGTTTCATCAAGTTTCATCGTTTGTTGTTTCATATACTCAATTGTATCCTCCTTGTCAGCTCTCATCACACACCACTGTCTCTCCTCTTTGTACAGTTTAAGACCTMATCCCCATCCTTCTACTTTCAGTTATACACAGTATTTCAATTTTATAATTTTCTTTGTGCTTTCCACTTTCAGCCATGGTCCTTACATTTCAACAGCTGATATCATGCAGTATAGCACTTACATATACCTTGGGGATATTGTAAGGCATATTGGCCAATGGGTTTCCTGTATTTAATATGCAAAGAAAAAATAGGGGGTCACCGAACTAATAAACGAGCTATAAGCGACTAAGTCTGATTTTTCCGTCCMAAATCACCATTTCTGTCCGCGCGGACTTGGGTTCTAGTACTTTATACATTCCCTTGATGAAAATTGTGAAATTGTCTTTGCAATCTCTAAAGACCCTAAAACCTATTTTGAATTGATTTTGGAACTAAAGAGGTCAAAATATTTTTTGTTCATTCATTTACAAAGTCGTATATTTGTCAATTTCGCCATCAAAACCGGCCAGGTCAGGCAATAAGTAAGAGTTAATTACCGAGTACGGAGGCAATAAGCCATATACATCCCAAGGCCCGCAGGCCCGAGGGATGTATAGGCTTATTGCCTCCGTTCTCGGTAATTAAGTAGTTATCAATTGAAAAGATTTTCTACCAAATGTTTATATATCTGAAATGCTCATTATAAATGCGAAGTCAATATATAGTTATTAACTAATTGAGAGTTTTAGATTGACGTTTTTTCGGCTATGACCGCAAACCGCAAACCTCAAAATATCACGTGACCTAGGTCTCGCGGTCAGGTTAGACGTCTGCAGTTCACGTTTTTACGTCAAAGACACCTTCTAGCGGTAAGTGAAATACGGCAAGGTTTTTATAAAACTGTAATTCAATAAACCCGCGTTTAAGGCTCGAATTAATAATGTTATATGTTTGTTCTTCTCAAATGACATTGTTTTAGAATTTAACGACGAAGTAATTATCAATTTTCGTCATTTTTAAGTGAAGACATAGCAACGAAGAAGAATAAACATGGCGGCTTCAACAGGACTGTTTCCATGTGAGGCATTTCAGTCGTTTTAGTTCACCATGTTGACACTAAGGAAAACATTGTGCTTCTGTGGTTGTGTTGTCTTAAATTATTCTCTTTTTTCCCCCATAGAATATGACACCTTTTAGATGGCCCTCCATGACCAATTCCCTACTTTGAGGTGAAAGTGTAAACGCCAATCTAAAAGGTCTTACGGTTTCAACGTTTAAACTTCTAACTGCAAACGTGTAACCGCGGTTTGCGGTCATAGCGAAAAAGCTTCAATCTAAAACTCTAATAACTATATATTGACCTCGCATTTATAACGAGGGTTATGACAAAAATATAGCCTTGGAACAACAAAGAAAACCGTGTCAATTGAATAAATTATGACGTTGGATATGTTGATAAATAATATATATTTAGGCACTGCCTGAAAGCGGAGCTCCCGATAAGCAAGTCACAGGGGGCTCAATTTGAATAGAAGGTAAAAAGAAGATCGGGAAAATAATCTTCAATTATTTTCTATTCGAGATGAAGATAATGTCTGCCATGATAAAAACCATGCAGTGAAATCGAATCGAAATGCACTACATTGTTTTTTTTTGCGCGAGTATACTCTCCCACTTAGGAATTTTGTACACAACTCACCACCAGCCCCCCAGGGGCTAGTTTTGTTCTTGGAAGATTCTTCGACAAAATTTCCCATGGCCGACATTCTTAAGCTTTGAACCCCTGGTTGATTTTACTTAAAAAACGAAAGATAACTACAGATAATCCAATACAATATCCAATTTAGTGATATTTACCTTGGATGTCTTTCATTGAAATCAAAATTTTGGAGATTCCCTGAATTTTTTTAGGACAAATGAAGACTATATGACAGGTGAGCAAAAAACAAGCTTACTTACATCTTTTACATAACGATTCTTGCTTTTCCCTAGGAATTTTTATGTTTTTATATGAACTGTATTTTTATAGTTCAAATAAAAATAAAATAAAATAAAACAAATGCTTTGGTAGCATCAGCGAGAGAAAATTGGCTGGAGATCACCAACTAACTAAACTTGAGAAATGAAGGCCCTGAACGTTAAAGCCAAATGTGTCATCAGTTAAAAAAGCTTTCTTAATATCCTAATACTTCATTAAAATAATTTTATTCCTTTCATATAAGCCTTAGTTAACTACTTTTCAAGAAGATTGAAAACTAAGCTTACTAGATTTTGAGATTTGATTTTACCAGTTTTCATCTGTTTTCATGTGTGAGAAAGATACGCAAATCACGAACAACGAAAGTTTTCGAAAAACAAAGTTTATATTCAGCTATTAAACTTGACAAGGACAACTGAGACAAAATAGAAAATAATGCAAAATGCAAAATGACTAATTTCTTTGTCAGTAAATTGGCATTTGTAAATGTTTTAGAATAATTTTTAGCTTTTTAAAGTGAAAGACAAGGTCTTTATACAATAACATCTCTCAACAACACAAATTTAAGCTCATTTCATATAATCGTACTAGCTCGAACAGCTTTATAAACAGTTGAATATCTAGTGTAATTTTGCATTTCATTCAATATATAAACTAAATTATCTGTAAAAAGATATAAAATTATTGAATGAAAGTCTTCAGCTTTGTTTTGCCGATGGGACCCGCGACAGGAGACAAACAAAGCTGCATTTTTCTTGAACGAAAAACATACGATAGTT